TTTTTTCCCTAAAAAATCGTTTTTTCATCAAAGGTTAGTGTTCGTTTGGCTTTGTTTTACATGAAAATTGTCCATTAAAGTGAAAAAAGTTTTTACAATTTGTTCCAAAAAAAAAAACTGGAACTTCAAATTCCCACCAAAGAGGTGGGAAATTTTTTTCCACAAAACCAAAGAAAGTGTGCACGTGTGAGGGTAGGAGGGAAAACAATTTCGCTAGAAAAAAAGCCTATCAAACATGACAAAATGGTGGAAATGGAAAATATTTACCATTTTCCATAGAAAAAACTTTGTATCAAACAGGGCCTTAAAGTAAAACATTCACTATCTGAAAATTGAATTTTGAAATCAAATTTGTATTTCCAAACTCACAACTCCAAAACTGAAAATTATTCTCTCAAATAAATTTAGAAATATAATGAAAATTAAATGATTTTGAAATTTATAATAATTACTACTGTTGTATTATTTCTAATCCTATTATTAGTACATATAATATTTCTTTTAAGGTCATGATGGTCATGGAAATACTCAAATCTTAGAGCAGTAAACACCAACATTTAATTAGTTATTTCATTTATCACGATTTAAAAAGAAAGAAATAATAAGGATTTAATATAAGCAGTCAGGTACAGATTCTTTGATTAGTGATTACCGCACTTCCTTCTCTATCACCATTTTAACTTCTCAAATACGTGCCTCTTGTCAATTTGTCATAATACACGTAGAATGTCTTTACTTTGAGTTATGTACTATTTTATAACCAATAGAATACACTTCCATATTATTAACACTAAATTTTAGCATCATCACGTACTAAAGAAAATTACTAACAGCCTTGGCATCATCAAGTGTTTCTTTTCCAAAATAAAGTAAAATCCAAAAGCCCACACATAATACTTTAGGGAAATAAAGTGGAATGTGCAAAGACGCACTATTAACTCTTCCTATAACTTCAAATACTCATACACAACACTTGTGACCAAGGTAAAAATATATGCCAATTTTGACACTTTTGACTACATGTGTGCATGGGAATCACTTCTTAGTAAGTTCCTTCACTGGAAATTCTTAAGAGTGAGTTAAATGCATGTGATATACTTTATATGCACACTCCATCCCAGAAATCCGAACCAACAAAAGGGCTGCAAAAATTTCCACAGCAGTTAAGATTTGGTTCTACTATGGCTTCGGAGCATCATCTACTGCACCTTGACCATTCTTATAATATTGATTGTGTATCTTACAACAGAATAAGCATGCCAATTGTTGTGTGAACATTTTCCTCCACTTCCACCAAATTAGTAAGAATTACATGCTACATCTCACACCTTATAACCAGTAATCTTTATGTTTTCAATGTGCATGTTCAGAATTATCTCATTAGGAATGGAGAAAACTCACTTACATTTCTAGTTCATATCTCAAATTTAAACTTTCATTTAGATAATCTTTAAAGTAACTGGATTGACGAGCACAATAAGTCTATCAAGAAACTTGGTAATACAAAATCTAATAAAGGAGGTAATACCAAATGTGCCATGAACTGGAAAAATCATTTACGATAGACCATACCTTCTTCCTTTCAAACCAAGCAGTTTTAGCATTCTCATTGATAGATATGTTACAACTCTTCCGACAGGATACAGTACTAGGGAAAGCCATGCCACTGGCCTAACTAAAAACTAACAATTTGGTTTATGGACAACCTGTAGAATTTCAATGTATTGATAACAGATGTAGAGGGCAAAGTATACCAAGAAAGCACCGCATAGAAGATGACAATTATTTATTTTCCTCTTGCAAGATTTCCAATTTCAATAGACACACACGTACATTCTGATAAGCTAATAATGTAGTTTTTAGAGTGTTTATAATTATCTTGTATATATGGTTCATATAGAGTGGAACACAAGTTTACTAGATCAAAATTGTCGATACCAGAGCGGAGCGGAGAGCACCGAATGGGACCTAAAGTCTTGTATGGGCTAGGGTTAGTATAAATACTAATGATCTACTTCAGAGCCCCATGGGATTAGTCGAGGTGCATGCAAGTTGGCACGGACATCCAAGGTTATAAAAAAAAATACTAGTGATGTAAGCCTATTATTCATACCGAATAAAATCTTCGCTTCGTTCATTGTGGACGTAGGCATATCGCCAAACCACATTAAATACTTATGTTGATTTCTTTATTTATTTTGCGTTAAAATCCAACAACTGGTATCAAAGTAAGGTCTAGATGGCAAGTTTTTCGATTGCAAAATTCGATGGGATGAAGTTCGACGGAACATGGAATTTCGGATTATGGTAGCGAAGGGCGAAGGATTTGTTGGCGCATTAAGGGATGGTGAAGGGGCTATCTGGGAAGAAGCCAGATGGTATGTTAGATGCCGATTGGGAAGAGATCGAGGCGTGAGCAGTGGGTACTCTCTGCTTGAGACATTGAATATCCGACGAAAATTTGGCTGAAATTGAAGAGTCGTTATATGTCGAAGTCGCTCACGAATAAGCTACATCTAAAGTAGCGGCTGTACGGAAGGTACATATCTGATTCAACATACAAATGTATTTAATCACATTATCAGTTACTTGTGACTTGAAATCAAGTTCGATGACGAAGACAAGACAATGATATTGTTGTGCTCTCTTCCTCTCTCGTATGACCACCTGGTGACCACGTTGACGTTGTGTTAAAGAGAGTCTCGAACTGGAGGAGTCACATCATCCATATTGGCCTACAACCAGCGGAAACTGCGTACTAGTGAAAGTTCACGGGGTGAAGGGTTACCAGGATCGTGGAAGAAAGAAGGATAGAGGTGGTTCTTACAAAGGAAATACGAGATCGAAATCCAAAAACCAAAATAAGAAAAACGTCAAGTGCTACGAGTGCATCATATAGGCCACTTTAAAAGGGATTGTCCGAATAAAAAGCAGGGTGATGAAAGGAAAGATGATGTGTCCTCAAACTCGACAGTATTGCAGAAGAAGACTCGGATTCTAGAGATGGAGACATGCTATCAGTCTCTGCAGGTAATTCTGACATATTTCATGACTCTTGGGTACTTGATTCAGCCTATTCATATCACATGAATCCTCACCGAGATTGGTTTGATTCATATCATTCGGGTAATTTTGGATCTGTTTTGATGGGTAATGATGCATCATGTAAGGTCATTGGAATGGGATCCATAAAATTTAAAATGTTCAATGGTGTGGTGAGGACTTTGGAAGATGTTAAGGCATGTACCGAAATTGAGAAAGAACCTAATTTCCTTAGGTACTTTAGACACATGTAGTTATTCTTATAAGTCAAAAAGTGGGGCCTTGACAGTAAAGAAAGGTGCTATGATTGTGATGAAAGGTCAGAAATTGGCAGGGAATATCTATAAACTATTAGGGAATACAATTGTAGATGGATTTGCTACAACAGAATCTAAGTCAGATGACACTCTCCTATAGCTCATGCGACTGGGGCATATAGGAGAACGTAGCATGATTGAGCTTCATAAAATAATTTTTTTGAAGTGAGTAAAATCATGCAAACTTGATTTCTGCAAGTTTTGTGTACTTAGAAAACAATCCAGAGTACAGTTCAAGATGGGAAAGCACAAGACAAATGACATTCTTGATTATGTACATCCTAATGTTTGGGGACCAACAAGGGAGTTGTATAAAGACGAATCTCAGTATTTCATTACTTTCATTTATGATTTCTCTAGAAAAATTTGGGTATATTTTATACAGCACAAGCTGAAACTTATGCCAAGTTCAGATTGTGGAAAGCAGAAATAGAGAACTAAACAGGTAGAAAAATTAAGTGTCTCAGGACAGACAATGGTACAGAATACACGGATTCACAATTTCTGAAATTCTGCAAGGAACATGGTATTCAGCGGCACTATACAGTTAGCAAGACACTGCAACAAAATAGTGTAGCGGAGAGGATGAACACAACAATTGCAAAACGGGCAAGATGTTTGAGGTTGAATGCATGGCTTCCGAAAGAGTTTTTGGGCAAAAGCTGTGAACATAAAATGTTACGTCATAACAGATCACCGCGAGCAGCGCTAGATGGGAAAGTTGTAGAGGAAGTTTGGACAGATAATGAAGTTGATTATTCTAGATTGAGAGTATTTGGGTGTCCGGCTTATGTGCATGTATCAAGTGATCAGAGATCCAAGCTTGATCCGAAATCAAGAAAGTGTATTTTTATGGGCTATATGAAAGGAGTAAAAAGGTACAAGTTCTGGGATCGAGAGGCAAAGAAGATGGTAATTAGTAGGGATGCAGTATTTGATGAAACATTCATGCTTAAAGAACCTTTAGATGAAAAGAAGCCCAGTTCAGGCGAGGGTAGCAATAATAGACAAGTAGTGCAGGTAGATCTAGACAATGTTGACATGGAGATTAATGCTCAGGGAATAAACAATTGTGACTCAGAAGAGGAACGGTATTATAGTATTGACAAAGATAGACCACGTCGCACTATCAGACTACCTATGAAGTATGGATTCAAGCATTCGGTTTCTTATGCACTTATTACCAGTAATAGCGATCCTATAACTTTTCAGGATAACGTTGGTAGTCAGCAGAAAAGTAAATGGATAGAGGCTATGATGGAAAAAATTGAGTCATTGCATAAAAATGATACCTGGGATCTGGTGGAACTTCCAGATGGGAAGAAATCGATAGGATGTAAGTGGGTGTACAGAAAGAAAGAAGCAATGTCAGAAAAGGAGGGGTAAAGATACAAGGCTCGATTAGTAGTTAAAGGATACTTACAGAGGAAATGAGTAATTTATGATGAGATTTTCTCTCCGATCGTCAGACACTTCCATCAGGATTGTCTTGGCAATAGTGGTCAATTTTGATTTAGAGTTAGAGCAGCTGGATGTGAAGACCAGCTTTCCTTCATGGTAATTTGAAGGAGCAGATTTTCATGGAACAACAAGATGGGTTCTTGGAACCAGAGAATCTTGTATGTAAACTAAAGAAGTCTTTATATGGGCTTAAACAGGTTCCACAGCAATTGTACAAGAAGTTCGACTCCCACATGATTCAAATTGGCTACAGTCGCTATGAGTATGATTGTTGTGTATACTATAGAGTTCTTGAGGATGATTCATATATTTTCTCGATGTATGTGGATGACATGTTAATTGTAGCTAAGAACATGAACGAGGTAGACAGATTGAAATCTTTGTTGAGCAATAAGTTTGACATGAAAGATTTGGGACCGGCTAAGAAGATTTTTGGCATGAAGATCAACAGAGATAAGAAGACCAGAAAATTATGGATATCTTAGAAAAATTATTTGAAGAAAGTGTTGGAGAGGTTTAGCATGTACGATGCAAAACCAATGAGTACACTATTGGAAATTACTTCATATTGTCTAGTAATCAATGCCCTAAGAATAAAGAAGAAATTGCAGAGATGTCAAAGATACTTTATTCCAGTGCAGTGGGATGTTTGATGTATGCAATGGTGTGTACCAGACCAGATTTAGCACATGCAGTCAGTGTGGTGAGCAAGTACGTGGCTAATCCCGGCAAAGAGCATTGAAGAGCTGTAAAGTGGATTTTCAAGGACTTGAGAGGTACAATGGAGTGCGGGATCATATTTGAGAGACAACATGATGTTTCAATTCAGAAATACGTAGATGCAAATTATGCAGGCGACTTGGATGACAAAGGTCCTATACAGATTATGTTTTCACACTTGCGAGTGGGCCAATCTGTTGGAAATCAATAGTGCAGTCACTTGTAGCATTATCCACGACTAAAGCAGAGTACATGGCAGCAACTGAGGCAGCCAAGGAATCATTGTGGTTGAAAGGGCTTGTCAAGGAGTTTGGGATCAAGCAAGATGGAATAAAGCTGTACTGTGATAGTTAGAGCTCCATCTTCTTAGCAAAGAATCAGATTTATCATGCAAGAACCAAGCACATTGATGTGAGATTTCACAAGATAAGAGAGCTGGTTATTTCAGGAAAATTGTTGCTAGAGAAGGTGCATACCTCAAAGAATGCTGCAGACATGTTGAAAAAGCCAATCACAATGGATAGGTTCAAGCAAAGCTTGAACTTGATTAACATCTCTAGGGGTTAAAGAGAATGTGTCCCAGCCTATTAGTCCCAAATAGTGTTTTTTCCCATGTTATGTTTGTTTCAGTATTTTCTCCTAAGAGGTGAATATTCACCAATGTGGAGATTGTTGTATATTTGACTCATACAGAGTGAAATATAAGTTTACTGGATGAAAATGGTCGATACTGAAGCAGAGCAGAGTGAGGGGAACGGAGCGCACCTTGTGGATGTAGGCACATCACCGAACCACGTTAAATACTTGTGTTGATTTCTCTATTATTTTGTGCTTAAAATCCAACAAATTAGTATCACAGAAATAAATGGACAAGTGAAACATACATAATGATTTTACTTATTAGAGATTACAACAAGAATTGTCTACAAACGAATTACCAACACGACTTTAGATTGTTAGAAAAAATGGGTGATTTGTGTGTAAATTAATTATCAATTAAATAACATACATATAAGAATTCAACAAGAACATAAACATAAAATATAAGTACAGAATTAGAAACACGCTTTAGTAAGTCACGTTAAAGACCCTATCCTAAAGTCGTGTACTTTCGGCACTACACGGCTCCAAAATAAAACACATGTGGCTCACAGTTGATTCTCCTTCTATAGGCACGACCATAGGGAGATAAATAACGAGTTTCTCATCGAGTTGCCAAAATAGTATAAAATAAACAAGGAATATTCTTTTTCAAGTTTTGGTTGTCATAGTTATGAAATAATATCACCTTCTTTTACAGTGTTAAATCAACCCCACAATAATCAACATTAATCTAATTAAAATATAGGTTACACTCCTAAAATTATTTTGTATTAAAACAAAGAAAACTGCAATGTTAAAATTAGCTTTAATTTTGAAGGTTTAAGACTTTTTTGGTTTTTTGTGTTACAGCAATCCTTGTACCGAAAAGTTAATATAGGGGAAAGAATCAAGAATAGTACCTGGAAGCAGCGATCTCTAAGCAAATTATAGCCTTGCAAATCTCCCCCTATCCAAGAAACAAACAAATAAATACTAAAGGTCAAAATGAGCATAAATTGAAATGGGTTATTAAAATACAAAAGAAAAATGAAAGAAACTCACAACGCCGATGATGGAGGAGTCAAATTGGATGTCGGCTCGGCGGCGGAGCTCGGCGGCGTGAAGGATGAGTTGTTTGGATTCAGAAAAGCCCAATTTCTTGGCTATCTCTGACATATCCATTTTGCAGAATTGAATTTTATTCAATTTTCTACTTATATTTGGATTTGTGGGGAGTGAAGAGATAAGATGGAAATGGAAATTTATAGTAGAAGGAATTACTCGGAGAAGAGCAATGGCGGGAATTTGAAGGTTGTGCTCATGGAAAGGGATGCATTTTGGCGAGTAAGAAAATAGGCAAGTAAATTTCATTTTTGTAGCTGTTATAATTTGTTGCAGTGTTACCTAACCAGATTTTAACTTTTTCTTTTCTTCCCGTATTTCAGTCCTCTTTATCTAACGAAAGGATCATTCTAATACACATTCGTAAAAGATCAAAAAGTCGAGAAGAAAAAGCTTACAATCAATTTTATGTTTCATCATCATATGAAATTGCTTTAAATGTCATTGCTTTTATGGGTTACTGACTCACGTTTGTGTTCACACATGTTGACAATCCATTTATTTCACATTATTTTACCATGAAAATGAATTTTTTGACCCTTTTTTTTCAAAAATGTGGGTCCCATGTTATCAAATATTGCGGCTGATACCCCTACTCATCGTTAAAAATTCTCATTAAAATGCCAAACAAATGGGGGCTGAATTGATAATCGAAACGAAATAGTGATATTTCTAATACATCAAGGCAAGTTTTCCTAACCAAAGGTTATGTTCTCAACAAATTTAAAAACAACTACTTGAGACCTTTTTGGTCAATTCATTACTGAAACATCTACTTAGCCAGCCAAGAACAGGCGACTGAGCTTTGGAACAAAATAAAATCAGCACAAATAGACGTTCCATTCCAACCCTTAAGAACTAATTTTAAAGGTAATATTAAGTGGTCAATACAACTGTTGAATATCACAACATGCAAGAAATCAAGGCAAACAAAAAAATAAACCAAGTCCTTTAATGTTCGCACTACAAGTCTATCCTATTGTTATCTAAAAATTGCTAACGCCACAACATTAAACAAAATTTGGAGATAAGTGATTCAGGTATCAACAGCCTCCATTTGGATCCATAACATAGAGATCCAAGCACTGAGATAACTCATCCAACCAACACAAACCATGACATCTAGTCCGACACTTGTGTTGATGCTTCACTCGTTCCGTTCTCTTGAATCAACTGTTAATAAAAAGAATTAAAAGAGTATTATAATGCAAGTTACTGAAAACCAATGAACGGTAGAGAAAAGAAAAGGGGATGATGAGGATACCAATGAGCCGACTCGCTCGTATGCTTCCATTACTTGGGGATTTTCCTCATCTTCATACCCTATTTGCAGGATTCGAGGTCCATTAACAGACCAGAAAGCTCTCCTACCAGCCTCCTGCAAGAATCTCACAAGAATAAGAGCCAACTTGCTAGGGGATTTTTTGCAAACCTTGCAAAGCATTACAGTAGAGAATAGTTGGTTCAAGTGGTGGGTTGAAAGAGGGGAAGAGAGATGCACGAACTTGCTCCTTTGCATAAGCTGAATAAAATTAAGCAAAACGATTTCACTAAACCTAGTTTGGCTATTCTAATTTCAGAGGAATCAGTTGATAAGGTTGTCTACCATGCAGGTATAAAATCAAATGAGCGGGTATACAAAACTAGAACTTGATAAACCCAACTCAATTCCTAATTCATTCTCACCAAAAAATAGAAGGGAAATGTAGTATGTTTGGAATATATCCTCCACATAAATCCTGCCTAGGAATCAATCCAGTCTTTAGACCAAACTAGAGTTTTCTAATCATACCTTCAAAGCTCAGAGAGTGTAAATGTTTTTATTATTGGTTATCAAGGAGACCCTGTAAGCTCTTCAAGTCCCCTTATCCAAAGAAAAGAATAAAGGGATCCTTCAAGCCAGTAAACATTAGCAGCATATCAATCCTCAACTTCAGAAAATAATGAATAATTTCAAAAGGGAACCAAGATCCTCATACTCGAAAATGTAACCTGAGTTCTCAAACTTTAGGTAACAAAGCAAGTATAAAACACTAAACAAGTCAGGGCAATAACTTCTTTATACTAAAAAAGGCAGCAACTTCCATGATTCATATACATCTTTGCTGGCGCCAAGGAAATTTTGATTTTTATTTCTCTTTTCACCAAAAAAGGATACCTTGGTGAAGGCTTTTCACTCTATAAGTAATTGATGTTTTCCAAACAGTTCTAACAAGGTTGATCAAGTACAAGGCAACTAACCTGCAAAATGAGCAAGTAGATAGCATCCAACGCTTGAACACGTATTTCAGGATCAACTATTACTTCACGCTCAATTGAGAGTGCACTCCCAAGCTCAAGCGGCATTTTAGATACATCTTTCTCACTATAAATCTGTCACAAGTTAATGCATTAGTAAAAACAGAATTCAAAATGCACTTAACCAGATTGAATCATCGTCTTTAGCTTGAATTAACATTACGGTAAATTTGAGTTGCCTAACATCTTTGTGGACATACTTCACTTAGAAAGGGTATCCAAGCTTCAAGCTTGCAGTCGTAGGATACTTTTGTCTTGCCTAAAATTTAATTGTCACAGTTAATTTGCAATTTCTTTAGGGATTTGACAAATTTCCAGATAACATACCAGTGATACCGAATATGCTCAAAAACACAAAAAAGGTTTTCTTCATAAGTGGCCAAACTTTGTTAAATATAGATCACCTTGTTTCCAGCAACCGGCAGAAGCAGTGCTGGCCACAGAAACTCTGAGATCAAAAGCACATTTTGCAGCTGACTATCAGCTTCAAAACAGCAGTTCCGAATAGTTCCGGAGACCTACAAAGAAGAAAGAGATATTGAAATACAAAAAGATATCTGACCAAAAGTATTTATTCGAGGATTGCTAAAACAACGATGTAAAGGAAGGCACAGAATAAGTCATATCTGCATTTTTCTTTCTAGTTCTACAAGCTTTCAATTGATGGTTCCGCAAGTTTTACTTACTCAAACAGCCCTTCGAATATACAGAATGTTCTAAATTTCAAACCTATAGATTATTACACAACAAATATACAGTGGGTGTATAAAGAGATCTTTTAGGATTTTTATTGTTCTCACTCATTCTCGCTCCCTATCCTGTGTTCCAACTTCCATCCCATGAGAGAAACATCCTCTTGCACTTGAACTTAGCCAAAAGGCCAAAACGTTTAGACAAGTGTAACAAATCAACAATTATGGACATGTTTTCGGGTAACTCATATGTTACCGGATATCGCGTACTCTTTATCATAGAATTTCTTTCAGTTAGTTACCATATGAACGCGCCTGAGAAAGCCCCTATGTGGCTTCTCCAATTCCTCAAAAGAAATGGAAACTAAATAAGCCATCATACCCAATAAAAAAACTGAAATAGAAAGCGCGTAGCAACTGAATTTCCAAGAGAACATTTGCGAGAGGTCCAGAAAATAAATAAATAAAATAAAAAGGAATTGTATTTCGTGGTCTCAAAACACTCGAGAGCAAGAGAATCTTTCTACTTACCCCTTTCTTTCGCAATGGGCTACCTGAATCAAATTGCCTAATGATCTGCTTCAGAAGTCCTCTCTTAGGGTCCAGTAGAAGTTTTCTTCCTGCTTCTTTCTGTGAAATATTTACTAGTATAGAAGCCACATGTTCAAAAGGATCACCTGATAAGATGAAAAAAAAAGAAGGTAGCGAAGTCAAATATGTTCCATAAAAGTAAATCTTCTTGTCATGTCATACAATTAGTATGAATCACAATTTTCCGACCCTAACCCAAATAAATTTATTTTCTTAATATCGAAAAAAAAAAAATTAGATGCACATACCTATAGTAAACACAAATTTTCCACCCTTTTCCTATAGTAAAAGATAAATAAAATACAAATTCCCTTCAGTTATTAACCAAAAATGTGTGACAAGACCTGTTAATCCCAACTCCCAAGTAAGGAATTTATTGCATATTCAATATCTGTCACTGACATTTTATGAATACTTCAATTGTACACACATAATTTCACTGTTCCACTTGCAGATAGGAAAAGCTATACAAACCTGTTAGAGTTAGTAAGGTAGATTGAAGTGCAGTATCTTTGCCTTGTATACCTATTTTTTATGCTAATGTAATATAGGTACACAAAACTGCTAGAGTTAGTAAGGCAGATTGAATTGTAGTATCTTAGCCTACCTATATTTGAAGAGAAAAATAGAATATTTCTTCTTATTGATTTACAACTTAAAACATTAATTTATAGTACAATGAAGGGAAGGATAAAAGGAAAGAAATAAATCTACATCCTAAAAGATTACAATATTACATATATGGAAAATAAATCTTCAATCATTCCTAAATTAAGTCCCAATCAATCTCGGGATTTCAACACTCCCCCTCAAGTTGGATCGTAAATATTGATCATATCCAACTTGAAGATGAACTCATCGAATCTTTGTTTTGGTAATCCTTTGGTGAAGATATCTGCAGTTTGTCCTTGTGTGGGAACATATGTCATACAGATAGTCCCTTTCTCAACATTCTCTTTAATAAAGTGTCTGTCTACCTCTACATGTTTAGTTCGATCATGCTGAACTGGATTAAGAGAAATGTTGATTGCAGCTTTATTATCACAATAAAGTTTGAGTGGTAACTTTATGGTGATGTGTAACTCTTCCAGAAGTTTCTTTAACCACAGCCCTTCACATATTCCTTGTGCAACTGCTCTGAACTCAGCTTCAGCACTACTCCTGGCCACTACATTCTGTTTCTTGCTCCTCCAAGTTACCAGATTTCCCCATACAAAGGTGCAGTAACCCGAAGTAGACCTCCTATCGTCCTTTGATCCTGCCCAATCGGCGTTTGTGAAAACCTCAATTTCTTTTCTTTCGCTCCTTTTGAAGAATAATCCCTTACCAGGTGAGCCTTTGAGGTACCTAAGTATCTTATAGACGGCTTCTAGGTGACTTTCTTTTGGAGAATGCATATGCTGACTTGCCAGACTAACTGCAAATGCTATGTCAGGTCTAGTATGTGACAGGTAGATTAATTTCCCAACCAGTCTTTGATATCTATCAACCTCTACCGGATTGCCTTCATCTTCAGTTTTCTTTCCCACATCAACTGGAGTATCACTTGGTTTGCATCCTAGCATTCCAGTCTCGGTGAGGAGATCAATGACATATTTTCTTTGTGATATACTGATGCCTTTTTTCGATCTAGCAATTTCCATTCCTAGGAAGTATCGCATTGGCCCCAGATCCTCGGTGGCCAGACTCTTCTTCAACCTCTCCATCTCCACTATATTGTCTCCTGTTAGAATAATGTCATCAACATATACAATTAGAATTGTTTTAGTACCGTCTTCAAATAGTCGAAGAAACATAGTGTGATCTGATTGTCCCTGACAATACCCTTGTTTTTTCAACACTTTAGCAAATCTGTCAAACCATGCTCTCGGTGACTGCTTGAGTCCATATAGTGACTTCTTTAGTTTGCATACCCGTTTTTCTTCATTTTCCTTGCAAAAACCTGGTGGTAACGTCATGAATACTTCTTCCTCCAATTCCCCATTTAAGAATGCATTTTTAATATCCAGTTGCTGAAGCTGCCAATCCAAATTTGCTGCTAGTGATATAATGACTCGAACTGTGTTCAACTTAGCTACTGGTGCAAATGTTTCTGTATAATCAATACCATATGTTTGAGTGTAGCCTTTTGCAACCAATCGAGCTTTATACCGTTCTATAGTCCCATCGGCATTGTATTTCAAATTGAAAACCCATTTGCATCCAACGGGCTTCTTTCCTCTTGGTAGGTCCATCACTACCCAAGTTTCATTTTTCTCCAATGCCCTCATTTCCTCCAGTACTGCTTCTTTCCAATGTGGAATCTCCAGGGCTTCCTGAACAGTTCTTGGAACAGCTGTACGGTCTAGGTGAGTGGTAAATGCACGATATTTTGTAGATAAAGAATTGTAGGACATGAATTTAGAAATAGGGTGTAGAGTACATGACCTTGTTGGTTTTCTGAGAGCAATGGGTAAGTCAGTGTCAGAAATTTCTACAGATTTTTGGGGTTCTGGACTTACCATCGGTTCTGACTCTCTTGGTGCCTCGGAAGTGAAATTCTCCATGTACTTTGATTTCGACTTTCTAGAGTAAACTAGTATCTCCTTATCATGTTTTTTTGCATCTCCCCCTGGATTCGAGTTCCCTTCTGTTAATGGCATAGTAGGATCGGGTGGAAGAATGGGATCGGATGAAAGAGTAGGTGGAAAACTGAGCTCAAAGAACCGATCTTCATGTACGGTCTCCCCCTGAAGAGAGGTGGTCCCAAAGTATGGAGTATTTTCAAAGAATGTGACGTCAAGGCTAACAAAAACTCTTTTCGTGGAAGGGTCATAGCACCTATAGCCCTTTTGGGTCGGAGAATATCTGATCAGAATACATTTAATGGCCCGGGGTTCAAGTATACAACTGTGTGGAGAGTGAACGTGAAGGAAAACGGTACACCCAAATACTCGTAGGTTTAGATTGGAAGTGAGACGGGAAGCTGGGAAGCATTTTTGAAATTGTTGAAGTGGTGTTTCGAAATTAAGAACCCGACTTGGCAGTCGGTTGATTAGATAGGTGGATGTAAGAATTGCGTCTCCCCAGAATAAGTTAGGCATTTTTGTGGTAAACATGAGAGCTCGAGCAACTTCTAGGATATGTCTATTCTTGCGTTCGGCTATCCCATTTTGTTGGGGAGTATCGCCCAAGAACTTTGATGAATTATCCCATGTGTTCGGAGAAAGTCTCCTAGGATGTGATTGAAGTATTCTGTGCCATTATCAGTGCGTAGAATTTGAATTGGTGCTTGGAATTGTGTTTGAATCATTGAATGAAAGTTGATGAATATGGTACGGACTTCAGATTTGTCTTTTAGTAGATAGACCCAACAGATTCGAGTGTGGTCGTCTATAAATGTGACAAAATACTTTGTATAGGTACGATTTGGGGTTCGTGAAGGGCCCCATACATCACTGTGAATCATGGTGAATGGCTTTGATGATTTATAGATAGATTTGTGAAAGGATGTACGTTGATGTTTTGCAAACTCACATATTTCACACTGAAAATTAACTGAACTTTTATTCAAGAAAATGGAAGGGAGTACATGTTTCATGTATTGTATGTTAGGGTGTCCCATCCTAAAATGCCATAACATAATTTCACTATCCCTAGGAACAGACGCAGAATCACAAATTTTAACTTGACACTGTTTACTCACATCAGTCTTATCAAAGTAGTAAAGTCCTTCACTTTCCTCAGCACTGCCAATCGTCTTCCCCGATGATAGGTCCTGAAAGATACAATAAGATGGAAAAAATTTAGCTGAACAATTTGAAGTTTTCGTTAACTGGCTTATAGATAATAAGTTGCATGACAAATTTGGGACATGAAGAACTGATTTTAAAGTGATAGATTCAGAAATTTTAATACTCCCTTTGCCTGCTACAGACGACAAGGAACCATCAGCAATTTTTACTTTGAGGTTACCGGCACATGTAGCATATGAAGAAAATAGATTATGAGAGCCCGTCATGTGATCTGAAGCTCCAGAGTCAATGATCCAAGGTGTGCTAGGCAGTGTGGTGGAATTTAAGACTCTTAAGAAATTACCTCTATGAGCAAGTGAACCTGATGAATTATTTGTGGAGGTCTGACTAGGCGGTTGAAGGCTGGAGAATAATTTGTAAAGTTGTTCCATCTGTTCAGGATTGAAAGCGCCACTTGGCTCCTTGAATTTGTCTCCTTGATAATCCACCGAAGCCTGATATCCCCGATTTTTGTTTTGTCTTGGTTTCCAATTTCCCGGCTTTCCATGCAACTCCCAGCATGTGTCTTCTTTATGCCCAGGTTTACGACAATGGTCGCACCAGGGCAGTCCTTTTTGTTGTCTTGTGTCTAGCCCATTTGCAGCTCTCCTTGAGTATAGGCCCATAATGTCAGGCCCAACTACCATATTTTTTCCTAATTCATTAGAGGTCTGTAAGCCACTCTTTTTAAGTCCAAGCCCAACATTTAAAGGCCCAGTATCAGACGACCCATGCCATTTTAGCCCAATATCAGGAGACCCACGCCATTTCGTCATTAGAGCAGATCTTTCGGTACCAGTCGACGCTCCACCGCCGGCGTCCAGCATGATTTTTCGCCGGTTCTCTTCGCGTCTGACCTCCGAAAAAACTTCCCTCGTCGATGGTAAGGGTTTTCTACCCAGTATCCTGCCCCTTACATCATCAAGATCTCGATGCAGCCCAGCCAAAAATTCAAAGACCCGCTCGTTTTCGAGCTTCTTCTTGAATCGCGCGATGTCTCCCGCGCACTCCCATTCTTCTTCGGAGCACAGGTCAAGTTCTTGCCACATAGCTGTCATCTCCAAGTAATATTCCGTGACATCTCGTTCACCCTGTCGAGTTTGCCAAAGCCTAGTTTTGATTTCAAAAATCTAGGACGCATTTTCAGAGTCTGAGTACGTCTCCTTCACTGCATCCCACACGTCCTTCGCCGTCGGTAGAAACAGGTATGTCTTACCAATTGATGGTTTCATCGAGTTTACAAGCCAAGCAGTCACCAAAGAATTCTCTGACTTCCATTTTTGAAGGGAGGATGCGTTGGTTGAGGCTGGCTTCGTTGTTTCACCCGTGAGGTAACCTAATTTTCCTTTCCCATCAATTATCAGTTTAATTGACTGAGCCCATTCACGAAAATTTTTCCCGTTCAATCTTTCGACTGTTAATTGAAACGAGGAATTTTCCCCTGCACTTATGGCTGAGGCTATTTCAGACTCGCCATTAAGGGAATCAGAGGTTGTGAATCCTCTGCTGTTGGCGGTGGTTTCTGACATGGTGTTGCTAGGTTAGGAACTCACGTCTCTGATACCATGAAGAGAAAAATAGAATATTTCTTCTTATTGATTTACAACTTAAAACATTAATTTATAGTACAATGAAGGGAAGGATAAAAGGAAAGAAATAAATCTACATCCTAAAATATTACAATATTACATATATGGAAAATAAATCTTCAATCATTCCTAAATTAAGTCCCAATCAATCTCGAGATTTCAACAATATTTTATACTAATTGGAAAGAAATAAATCTACATCCTAAAAGATTACAATATTACATATATGGAAAATAAATCTTCAATCATTCCTAAATTAAGTCCCAATCAATCTCGTGATTGCAACAATATTTTATACTAATGTAATAATAGGTAGTGCCTCCATATATATCTTCTCTTATAGAAAAGGTCAAACAGTACACTAATATGAATCCTTTTCACTTGGGGAATCAACTTTGCTCTTTCTACCACTAAACCAAGGCTAGCATATTCATGTGTTAATCTTACGAATAAGGTAAGGGGTGCACTATTTACTTTATTTATTTTCGCATGAGAGACCATGCAGCAGCTACATTTATCTCCACTTCATATGCATTACCTCCAATGGAACCAAATATTTATTTTACAAATCCAGTAACACAAGTAACAGACAAATGAACACACCTTTTTCCTCAATGGATGACGTACAAAATGATCTCACCAGCTTCATGACATACAGACCATGCATCTTATCATCTCCATGCTGACATCCAGGATCGACAATCAACATATTAAGCATAATCAATTAACCTCCCAAAAAAGGAGGTATGAACTAATATCCTCTAACTTGCAATAAAAAGTGTATACCACATAATTATAATTTCCAATGCCCATTCAATTTTTTCTTCAACATTGAAAGTAAGAAAGCTTTCTCAGTATCAAAAGGCAGCGTTCTAGAACATTTTAGTGTTCGACTAGAAACAATTTCAGTACAAAGGAAAACAAACAATGCAGAAAGAATAAGGAGATTAAAATGGCACCTGAAGCAAAGAATCAATACCAGCATCCAACTGGGTGAGATTGACAAGGAGCATAACTAGCAGCCCAGTAACTTCACAACCTTTTCTGTACAAATTATCCATCACTTTTCTAACCATATCCATTTCAACCATCTTTCCTGCCAGATCTGAATTTTGTGACAAATTTACAAGAGCTTCTGCTGCAGGTTCTGAAACTTCCTGAACAAATAAATCAAACAACATGCTGGTAAGTAACTAAGCACAACCAATAAACTAGAGAGATTAAACATTCCACAAGTATTTAAAATTACTGACATGCGTTATTTTTTTATTTTTTATTTTTAAAAATCAGGCCTTCTCAATTGTGAGGATTGAACTCTAGCATAGAGATAACTTACCTGATTGATGGGTAATTTCCAGCCCATTAGACCATAAACCCATTAAGCATCAATACTCATAGTTTGCATAGTTTTGTGTTCTCAGATTACCAGCCAAAATCTTGCATTTACAAGGCTAAATTTGTATAAAATTTAGCCCCCGTTTCGCCCCAATTATTTGAGATTTTAATTTTCAAAATAGTTTTTTTTTTTAGAATGTGTGGTTGAAAAAGAAGGAAAAGTTTACAGTTTACGTGTAATATTATTTTATTGGAGAATGTGTGGTTGAAAAAAAAGAGAAAAATGTATTAAAATTTTAATGGGGGCAAAATGGGGACTTATTCAATCTCAATCGTCTGCATGAAGCTACCATGACCACTGATGGACGACACAGGTGGCACAGGCTTGCCATAAGGATGTCTGTAGAAACATTGAGTGTAAATTGCCCAAACATTATCCCCTACCATTGATCACATAGAATCTAATACTCAGATAGAGGAGGTAGTTCTTTCCATGCTTGGTTCATTCATTCATGAGGAGTTTCATTATCAAATGATCACAGATGAAATAATTGTAATTGAAGGACATCATTTGTAAGTGACAAAGACTTGAAGGGTAAAACAATGAACAATTTATGATCAATGCTAACATTTCCACATAGGATTCGTAATGGTGGCAAACCATATAGCAGAAGTTATGAGTTAAAAAGTCTTGTACTTGGAAACAAAATGTATTAGATAAATGCTATTCTTCACTTTTTTCCTCCCAAGTAAATGTTTCCTCATCTATTTTGTTGCTCCCAAATATTGATCCTTGAGTTAAATTTTTTCATCACTACAATGCAATCACCCTAAGAAGTGTGATTCGATTTTGATCAATACAGTTGATATTTTAGTAGTTTGACAAATTAAACCATTCCAAGTTTTAATAGGAACTTGCGGTCTCTTGTGAACCATTCTGTGCCATTGCCAGAAAGTCTACTTGGTTGTATAAACATCATGATTCAAACACCTAAAGAATGGTAAAAAAAGCAGATATTCCTTCACAAATCAAAGTTAAGAACAAACATAAAATACTACCTTTCCTTCAGCTAAAAGACCAGATAATGATGGCAAGACAACATTGGAGTACTTGCCAAGAGACCGCAACCCATCCTCGGATCCCGTATAATCCCGAACAATATCAACAGCCGCCTTTTTAATCTGTAACTTAATTGAGTTCATATAATTAACAACATACACAAATACCTCAAAATTAAAGAGTTCGTGTAAAAATAATGATCGAATAAAATATAATTCGTGTGTATATCCCCAAAACAAAATAATAAGTAAAAGAAAAAAAACGTACTAAAATCTCAACCAAAAATCTAGCACTATATGTGTGTGTGTAATATAAGTGAAGAGTTTTACAGGTGGAGAAGGGGATGACAGGAAGCCCAATAGCTCCTCCAGTTCGGTCGCCATGGCTGTTTTCTCTTCAACTTGAGGATGAAATTGTATCCCTAGAAACTACCTTTTATGAATTATTGCACTTTAACCCCCCTTTGTGGTCTCAACGAGTCGAGCCCGAGCCGGGAAAAAAGCTCGAGCTTTTTTCGACCCGAGCCGAGTCGGCTCGGAATTTTTTATTTTTTTTTTTATTGCTGCCAGCAATAGCTGCCTTTGCAGGCAGCTCTTCAAGATAAAAATAAAAAAAAATAAAAAAAAAATTTAATATATATATATTTTTTAATGTTAGGCTTGCCCCCAAAATGGGGCTCGCTCGAACTTTTTCCGGACCGAGTTCGAGTCAACGAAATTTTTTGCCATCGTTACTCCGGGATGGTTTGCTCCTGGGCCCTTTTGTAGTTTTCAATTTTGTGGGAATTTTATTTTACTTTTTTAATCCAATTTACTTGTATTCCTTTTTGTCTTCCATTCTTTTAAACTATCTATTTTACGTATTCATTTTCATTAACATCTTAGTACAATGAAATATTTTACACTAAAATTCAAAATATTTTCCTTACCTTTTAACCAACAATTCTCCACAAAACCACTTCAAAACAATATGTTTTTTTTAAAAAAAAAAAAGGGCCACCAACTTGATTTGATTTTTCAAAAGCTAATTTGAAATTTTTTAGTCGAATTAAAACATTTCATACTCAAAAGAATTATTAATTTGGATCGACTTTATTTTTATGTAGATGGAGAGCTCGTCTTAATTGGATTGAAGACGAATTGGAAAATTTAAGGGATTGAAAGGGTATTTGAGTCTTTTGATTATAGGGATATTTTGGACTTTTTATACCATTTATTTATTCTATTTTTTAATGGAGGTCATTTTACCAACAAAGATTGACAATTGTCCAAATACATTGTTTGACTAGGCTGTTTAACAAAGAGTGCCAAGAATTATTAATTTGGATCGACTTTATTTTTATGCCTACCTCGAGTGATGAAAACTGCCAAACTGGAATACAAAGGGGATATGAAGAATTTTTTGTAGATCTAAAAGAATGTCAATAATAAAAGAACTCTGTTCGATTAACATTGATGGAGGATTACAGTGAGCAAAATCTACGTGCTTCTCGTCGAGTGCGGAGGTTCAGTCGGATTTCGAGACAGAGATTATTATGTTGGCTGTTGTCACTTGCAGTGGTGTTCTTTATCTGTTTGACAACTTTTGGATTGAAGATGCGCTTTCACGGTGAGATTAAAGATTCTTTCATCCTACCACAATATATAGCAACGCAAGCATTCTGTTAAAATTGCTGAGTGAGATGTGTCGTTTTAATTTGAGAATTTTTGGTTTTAGTTTTACTTTTGAAGTTATCGTGCTTAACCAAATGCCTGTAGTGGGTTGCTTCCCTTTATGGCTGGCTACCTTCTGATTAGTGGTAACACCGTTAATCATTTTCTGCTAAGCTCGAGACGTTATTGCTAGTTTGGATGCTTCAAAAGATGTCCTTGATAAAATAGTCATCTGTTCATCTATTGTACAAAATAAGAGTTTAAAATTGTTGATGTTCATAGGCCCTTGAAGAAAATATCTTCTGTTAAGTGTATGAACTGTAATTTTTAGTTTTGATTTGCTCGTAAAAATGTCTTATATGTCTTTTTTCATGTAAATTGGAAGGGGTCATTTCATCTTCGGAAGATATTGAAGAAGAATTACTGATGCATAATGTGTCACAGCAACAAAGATGGAAACCATGTAGACAACATAAGTATAGCCTTATTAGTTTCTAAGTGATCCTATATGATGTACTATTTCACTATCTGCCTTCTTGCATATATAGTTTTAGAGGATCACTCATTTTATGCATATGAGCATTTAATGATTAAGATATGTTGCAATTTGCAATTGTGGCTTAACTTAATGCAGATGTAATGCCTTGGCACGTACCCTAGATGATAGAATCCAGCTGGGAAACAACTGTGTATGAGAAATCTTCCTATTTTGAATATGAGGTGGCCAAATTTGATTCTAAACCATTCACCTATCAAATGAGAAACTCGTCTTGAAAGTTATTATTGTCTTCTATGACTTATAGGTCACTGAAATTGTATTAGCTCTGGGAAAAATATAAACATGCGTATCTAATCCTTGTGAAATACATTAAAATATCATAAATACAAAACAATCCTTGTGAAATATGTAGTATTATGAGTTTACTTCTCCTCATTCTTATCTTTCAGGTTACTTTCCCTGTGAGGTACCATTTATGGATTTAGTTAATTATCTACGTGAGCCAATGGATAATATTATAATAATAAGTTTGCTCATTTCTCCTTGGGGTATGTTGAAAGAGAGGAGAGGATATCCCAGAATGATGCTCTTGAGGCTCAGTTTGGAGGACATCAGACTTTAGAAGAAAGAGAGAAACCCTACCATGCAAGAAGTCAAACAATTCATTGTGATTTTTTGAGTGGACCTGATGGATTTTCAGGAACTAGGTTTGAATTGGATGAGAAGGACAAAAAATATATGACTACATGTAGTGTTGCTGTATCCTTGTGCAGTTTTGGAAGCTCTGATTTTCTGAGAAGACCAACCAGCAAATTGGTAACAACTTACTACATTTTTGGCATGCATCTTACAATTTTTAGGAAGTTTTTGTACAAGTATTAGGCAGTAAATAGTAATAATCTCATTTCTCCGCTTTGAGTTGATGGATTGCTATATGAAGAAGTATCAGAAGTGAAAGGAGAAAGAAATTCTTCCAAGACCAAGAACATCCAATAATATCTCCTTCATATTGTTTTGTCTCTCTATGGAAATTGGTGTAAGAATATTTACTTTTTCCAGCTTGGCATACAGCTCGTACTCGCCCACCCCCAACAAGAAAACTCTTGTTCAGTGAAATGCAAATGTTATGAAGAAAGAAAGAAATAGCTGGATTATTATGCATTTTAGAAGTCATTGGTTCTGAAAAAAGTTGTTGCTGGCATTTTAATTTTTAATGTTTTATTGATATGTAATCTAGTAGGCATTTCAACTTGCAAACTGAATGACTTTTATTTTCCATCGTTCAATATTATATCATAATTGAGTGAGAACTGGAGATTTTCGTTTCAGAAATATTTACCTTCTAGGTGCCATGGTGTGAATTCTAGATTGATATTGTTTGTTTAAACTCTGTCTCAGTGATAAGTTTCCAGAGTCCTTTGTCTTGCTAATTTTAGATAAGTGAATACTCAAAGAAAAATGTATATTATGTTTGTGGATGAGCAAACTTTGGCTAAACTCTCAGCAGAAGGAAATGGTCCAGATGACAAAGGGAATATTGTTTTATGGAAAATTGTTGTAGTGAGGAACTTACCATATGAGGATGTGCGGAGAACTGGAAAGGTGCCAAATTTTTTATCACATCGCCTCTTTCCTTCAGCTAGGTGATCCTCATAGCACAATATGTCTCTCTAATAGATGAAACTTGTCTATTTTGTCTAGTGTATCTGTTTTAATTGGAACAACTTGTCATTTTGCTTCTTGTGTTTTCTATATGAAGATATTCTATTTGGCTTGATAGCAAATTACGACTTAATGCTGACCCTATGCTGATCATAGAGTACTTTCTCTAGCGGATTTATTCAGAATATGCTATTTCTAATCATTACATTCGCCACTGTGTTTGGGAGGAGGTACTCCAAGTTTTACCCTTCAGACCCAAAAATTCTTCTGCCAAGCTGTGCGTGCAATTGGTACTTTTTTTTTTCCGGTTATTGCCTCTTTCTTCTGGAAGTCCTTTCTCTATTGACTTGATGTCTAATTTTGTCTTTTGTGCATGTTGTAGTCGTACCGGAAGGGTCATTTATTATCAGGGTGCATACTCCAATGTCAAATTTATTTTCATGCCTCTGGTTCAATGGAGTTGATCGTTTTACATCACTTGATCATCTGAGTGTGCATATACTTACTTGAAACTGAAGTGACTTAATCCTGATGAACAATTCTATTTACATATGTTCAAGGTTAGTTATCAGTCAGAGCTATTTTGCAAGCATACATATTAATAGCTTTGCATGTCGTTTTTACATTTTAATTTTTGTATTAGAACTTGCAAGTCCAGGGCCATTTTGTTCTGATGAAGTTGTGGCCCTTCTATGTTCCACGTGCAATGCTCGAAATGACATGTTGGTTCTTCACTTTAAACATTAAATCACTGAATTTTGTTCATTAGTAAACTTATAAACACCCATACCCTGGTCCATGTGACGGTCATAGGCCTAATTTCATATGTAAGGTACAACCGTACACTCTAAACTAACCCTTGTTTCCAATAAATTTGGATTTGGCTTTTTTGCCATTTCTTTGTCTTGTCTTCAAAAAATAAAAAGGAGTTTTGAGAAAAAAATACAATCATCTTGGCAAAGACTGGATAGAAATCGTGCCTTTTATGCGACTATGACTTATTCAAGAGGTGATTGGGTTCATTGCTAGATCTATTAGGAGATTTACTGGAGCTTTAACCTTAGCAACTAGAATAGTCTCTTCTCACCATCTTTTTAGTCACGAAACAAGTAATTTATCATGTTTGATATGCTAACCACATACTTTATTAATAGCTAAAGTGATTAAAATCATATTTCTGTTTAATCGACTACAGATCCAAATTAATGGGGCTTTCTGGTCTGAGGTCTTGTTCTATTTTGCTTATGTACCATCCAGCAACTATGAATAATTTCTGAATAGCCTGTGTTTGGCTCAAGTTTATAAACATTTAAGCCACTTTTTATCCACAAATTTTGAGGGACCAACAAGTCCTACTAACTTATCCACCACTTGTATCTACCTATTTGTAGTTTAAACAATTTATAATAACTTCCCAAACATGCTCAAATAACTTCTGGTCTTACTTTTTGATTCTCAAGTATGTTCTTCAACCTGTGTGGGTATTTGATATTAGCCATTTACTTTGGTTTCAAGCAAGCTTTCATGAATCCAGAGAACATTTACCACTTGATCTCCCAGATGACTGGCATTGAGCAACAAAAAAGGCAGTAAAACTCGACCCCTAAATAATTTAATAGGATCTAGCAAACCTACATCTGGGCTGTAATATACTTGTCATATTAACTAGTTTACAGTTAGTATCACCTATGATCCTCGGAGCTGTTTTATCCCGAATAATATGGAATCTCAATTTCATTTGTCAAAAATTGTTTACAGATTAACATCACTGATCTTTTCATTTTTTCTTTGTTCAGGACTGCAAACGAAGAGCAATAACGAAACTATTCCATCATAGAAAGGACAATTATAAATTCTTTCAGTGGGTATTAAGATAAAGTTTTCCCTCAATTGTATGTTCACTTCTTTATTAAAACGAGATGACCTGTTTACTCCAGCCTACGAGTTTTTATCATCCCTAATCTGACTATTTTAGCTCCGATACAGGCTCCATCCTGGATTCCCTATCTGCCGCCATCTTCATCAAGATATCAAGGAATTCATACCGAAGTTAATAATGATGATATCAAGGAATATAGCTTTTTGTTTGTATTCTTGTCTTCTTTCTCGAGTGGACGAGGGGAAGGGGGGTCAATTACTGGCTGGTGTCCATAAATTTGGAATAGGCTATGCAAATGATCTTGTCAGGGCTGCATAATATGGAGCATCCCACCATATTATTATAACTGTACACCTCAGGTCAATAGCTGTAGGTAATATGAATATTGCTTCTTTGTTCAAATGGAAACGTGCTATCCTCTCCCTTGCCGTGGTTGATCTTGTACTGTAATTACTTGCATTGCGATTTGCGAAATTGTACTTCCTCTTATCATTTAGGTTTTGTGTTAGGTGTTTGTGATTACCTATTATAAGTTAAAAATAAACATATAGTTGATACGTTGAACTAGACATGACTAAATATAATATAAAAGTGAAGTATGTAGAACTTTTGTCTACTATTGTGTTAAGTTAAACATGCCAAACATGCATTAATTGAAGGTTTTCAGATGGAGATTGGTCCTCGAGTGTAAAGGCATAAGGGAGCTTGACCGTAAGATTCATCCGTCGAGTAAGGTCTTTCCACATCAATTAACTTAGAGGTTGGATGTAGTCTAACAATTGAATTATCCTAATCAATTAGTTAAATCTATCTTATGTAGATTATCACTTCTAGGGTCAAAACCTCTTTTAATTTCAATTGAACATTTTATTTATAAAAATTAATTGGTATGCCAAACATTTAACTAGCAAATCATTAATATCCTTTATGGCCATTTTTCTCAAAAAATATTATTTTGAATAGTAAATTTTTGGAGAATTTTTTGTTAAAAAGTAGAGAAGAATTTTGGATTTACATGTGGATTATTTTATTGTGTGAATATGTGATTGAAAATGAGCGTGTAAAAATTTTTTGAAAGATTGAGAGACAAATCGAATTTACTATTTGATCTTATTAAAAAGGAGATCGAGCATCAGGTTCTTTTCCAGTGAGAGAAAAAAATGGTTACCTCTTTGAGAAATTAGGAATATGACAGTAATTAAAAGACCATCTACACAGACTAGGAAGAATAACATAACTCCATCACAATTATAGATGAATAGAGATGAGTCGGACTTGGAATGTTGAAAACCCAGGTGAATTAAACAGCTGCTCAATTCCTGATACCAAGAACGAGGTACTTGTTTTAGACCGTATAAGGACTTCTCCAAACGGCAAACATGAGTGGTTGAACCATGCAAACATCCTCCTGAAGTCGGCCATGTAGAAATGCATTGTTAACGTTAAATTGATGAAGTGGCCAATTTTTGGGAACAGCAATAGAGAGAACAACTCTAATGGTCACGTGCTTGACAACAAGACTAAATGTTTCATTGTAATCAAAACATTGTCGCTGATGAAAGCCCCTAGCAACAAGTCGTGCTTTGTAGCGAAAAATACTGTTATTAGGATTGTGCTTAATGCGGGAAATCCATTTGCATCCAACTTGTTTGATATTGGAACAAAATGGGACAAGTGACAAAGTTCCATGTTTGACCAAGGTGGTGAACTCTTCAGACATTGCTTGCCGCCACTTTGGATCTTTCAAAGCCTGGGAAACACAAGTGAGCTCAATTGGTTGAGGGAGAGGGTGTTTTGTAGCAAGGTACAAGTGTTTGGGTTTATGAATATTATTCATGGACCTGGTAGTCATTTGATGTATGCGGGTGGGATGCCAAGGATTGGCATGGATAGTGGGTGAAGGTATTGTTGGAGATTTTGGAGTTTGAACTAAAGTCGAAGGACGATCCCCCATCTCAGTAACTATAATAGGCGATGTAAATCCAACACGAGACACTGTTGGTATAACCAAGTCTTGAGTGTTAGCACTTGAAATTGGCAAAAAAGGCACAGAAACATGGGCATAGGAGTGAAAAGGAAAAAACACTCATCAAAGACTACATGCCTATATAAATAGATGCGAGATGTAGTGAGATTCATACATTTATAAGCATTTTGAGAGTTTGAATAGCCGAGAAAAAGACACGGTGTTGATCTTGGATAAATTTACTAGTGGTATAAGGTTTAAGCCACGGGAAATATTGACAACAAAAAATGCGCAACTTTTTGTAATCAGGAAGATGACCAAATGGACTTTTTATCTTGTAAGATGGAGGTAGGCATACAGTTTAGTAAGGAGTGTGTATTCAATTGGGATTTCTGAAAACTTTGATAAGACTTTTTTAAGTCATCATTTCTATAGATTTCATAGATTTTTTAGATACTCGTATAGAATTAGTGAAAGTCTTTTATAGATTTCTATAGATTTTTATTTTAAAACTTTTATAGACTTTTGTAGAATTCAAAAGATTTTTGAAAACTTTCATTTGAAATAGAATTCATGTAGATCTAGTATAATATTATGAAATTATCACATACAAGGTGGTGGTTCTCTCAATTTTCTTTCTCCTTCCCCACCCCGCATAATAAAAAAGATATTTTAAAAATAATAAAAATTTAAGACCTTAGTTAAATAAATAATAAAACATATAACAAATTATTTTAATATTTAGTATTATTAATATAATATACCTTTAGAAAATAAATAAATAATAATTGTATCATTTAATTAAAAATAGATATTTTTCACAAAAAATGAATGAAAAAAAGAAAACAAAAGTTATAAGAATACAATTGAATTTTTTTCTTAGAAAATAGAAATAAAGAATAAGGTATGTTTAGAGGAAATTTTGATATCATTTTCAGAAGAAATTGGATCGTTGCATAGTGAATTCGCAACCCATTTCAATGAATAATTCTGCTCTACCAGGCCTGTAAAAGGCCTGGTAGAGCAGTTGCTCTCACATGAGGACCTACCTCATTAAAAAAAAAACCCCAAATGTTAAACGCCAACCCCCCCACCCAATCTCACATTTGCTCTGCCAGGCCTTTTACAGGCTTCACAGAGCAGCTCAGTCCCATTTCAATAGGTTTTGACATGGAAATAGACTGCAACCTGAAACAAAAAGATTCTTACTTTTAATTTACAATGCCCACCTTTCAAATCTACCCTCACATGACTCACTCTCCAATGGAAGAGTAAAGTGGAAATCAATTACAGTCAATTGGGTGGTTGAGATAATTGTTGAGGGTAAAAATGTAATAAAGGAATAGAAGAATCTCAAAATTTCAACCTACAGTCTCTTCCATGTCATAAGTGTGGGAAATGTCAATTGAGTTCACTGTGCAACATTCCAATTTTTGCTAAAAATGAAAGCAAAATTTCCTCCAAACAAGCGCAAAGAGAGAGAGAGAGATAAAAAAAAATATTAAATTAAATCATAACTCTAATGTTCGTAGAAGAGAAATATTGAAACAAAATACATATTAATTTTATTTTTTTTGTAAGTCTCCCAAAATATTGTTATTAATGAAAGAAAAATTTTGAGATTTTATTTTAGTACTTTATGTTTAAAAGTTAATACTATGGAGACTTTTATAAAACTGTTTAAAAGTCATTAAAGTTTGAATACCTCAAACTTATAGAGACTTTTAAAAAATTTTAATTGAACACACCGTGACTTTTAGAGACTTTATAAAAGTCTATAAGAGTCTCAATTGAATACACTAATATTTTAGAGAGTCTCCAAAAGTTTACATTGAATATCCCTAAATTTTTTAAATCTCAAAAAGTCATTAAAAGTCTCAATTAAATACACAGCCTTAAGAAAATTGCAGCTTGAAATGCATAAGACCAATATGATGAAGAAAGGATTGCTTGAGTCAAGAAGGTGAGATCAGTTTCAACAATGTGATGATGTCGACGCTCACTTATGCCATTTTGTTGCGCTGTATGAGGGGCGGTAGTGAGCCAACTAATTGAATTATCTGTTAAAAATTGGTGAAGAGCATAATATTTCCCCTTGTTGTCTGAATATAAATGTTTGATAAGAAAACCAAATTGTTTTTCAATGAGCCCTTTTAATCGAATAAAAATCACGTGAACATCACTTTTGAGACGAATTGGAAACAACCAACAATATTTGATAAAATGGTCAGCAAACAATGCATAAATACAATACCCATCAATAGAATAGCATGATGTAGGCCCCCAAATGTTAGTGTAAATGTTTTCAAGATGATGAGCACTTTTAAGAGATGTGGAAGAAAAAGGTAATTTATGACTCCTATTGCATTGACAAACAGTACAAAGTGTTGTAGGAGAAGACCTAGACACTAGAATTGGAATAGAAAATTTACGAACAACCAAAGCAACAATTTTATTTGACGAATGCCCAAGGCGCTTGTGCCAAGTATTGGCTGTTGTTCTTTCACTAACTAGTGCCAAAATCGAATACTTGTTAACTAGAGAAGCCATTGGCATTGGATGGACACCATCTTGACATTTACCGTGAAGAAGAGTCGTCCCCGTGCTCCGATCCTTCACAAAAAATGAAAATGGTGAAATTCAAGAAAAAACACTATTTGAATGAGTAAAACCGTGAATGGATATTAAATTCTTGTGAATATTAGGAACACAAGGGGTATTGGTTAACATAAAAGGCTTGGAAGAAAAGGGAACAGTCATAGAGCCAACATGTGTGACTCGCAAACCTGAGCCATCACCAATAACTACTTCATCTGTGCCATCATATTCCGAATGGACAGATAAATTAGCAAGATCAGATGTGATGTTGTGGGAAGTAACAGAATCTACAAGCCATTTTCTATCATTAGAATTGCTGGTAGTGGCACAATGTACTGATTTCTCAACAAGAACCAAGTGAGAAACCTTCGATGA